AGAGATAATTATCAATACCAGCTGATCAACTAAATATTTTTATGTTCTTCATTCAAATGCACAGAATTAATCCAGCTCTGTTTTTGTTGATGTTTAAAACATTTCCAAAAACAAATGGATAATTCAGAAAGAAAGAAAAAAATACTACTTGTTATACGTGTGTTACAGTATTTACTTAGAGGAATTTTTATACATTGATTGCTTTTAGCTGCAAAATAATGGTTCAGGGAGATCCAGAGGTCTCCACTAACCTTGATTTATCAAAGGAATACAGAAAAAGGAAAAACAAACATGTTTCATTTTTCCAGATCGTGGATTTGACCTCGCATTCAAGACCGCTGATGACCCCTCTCTGTCCTTGATCAAATATGGGCAGTTCCTCTACGACCATCTAATAATCTTCGCACCGTCAGTCGAAGGTAAATTTCACTTGGCTTTTCATACCTCATGTTAACTTTTTTAAAGTGGTATGTAACATTTATTTTTCTGGTTGCTTTTTGCAGACTTTGGTGGAAATATAAACTTGGAGACAATAACATCCTTCATTGATGGTGGAGGCAACGTCCTGGTCGCTGCAAGTTCAGATATTGGTCAGTCGACATATAAAATATTTACTTTATAATTAATATATACTTGTTGAAATGCAGATTATTCACTAATTTCTGTAATGCAGGGGACCCTCTGAGGGAGCTGGGTAGTGAGTGTGGCATTGAGTTTGATGAGGAAAAAACGGCTGTTATTGACCACCACAACTATGATGTTTCTGATCCTGGAGAGGTAAACGGTTTGGTCTTCACAATATTTATATTGACGTTGCTCCAATCTCGAGGTTCGACTCTCTTATTTTCTGGCTATCATGCATGTTTGCAGCACACCCTGATTGTTGCCGACCCAGAGAACCTGCTTAAAGCTGCCACGATTGTTGGCAAACCAACCGGCAAGCCTGTTCTATTTAAGGGTGTTGGGTAAGTAAAAAAAAATCTAAATGTAGTGTCTGCTTATAAATTAAAGAAATGATTTTAATTGGGTTTGAATGTGCATGACTGTTGGTTGAATAGTTTTTCCTTTCTTTGGTGGATTTTCTTTTTTTTTTTTTATCTCCTCCCTCTCCCCCAATGCACTTGTAAAAAACTTGTAACTAACTTGTCACTTAATTGAACATGTAACTAATTTGTTAGTTTTTGTATTCATTTGGAACTATAACTTTTTTTTTTTTAAAAAAAGAAACAAGACTCTTGCTTAGGAATGTGAAGCTTTAAATGAACGTCTGACTGGAAACCTTGTGATGTATCATTCCAGCATGGTTGCTGACCCAGACAACCCACTCGTCCTCGACATTCTCACTGGTTCTTCAACCTCCTACTCCTATTTCCCTGACAGACCCATTTCTCAGGTAACACCACCTCTTATTGTCTGGTCAGATTTTTTTTTATTTTTAATTGAGACATTTCCTTAAATCTGAACTTTGCTCAAAATCATTGGATATATAAATCCAATATGATTACCAAGCTGCATCACCTACAATCTAAACTACATCTAAACGTTGTGGTCCGATTCAAATTGTTTTGCAGATTATTTTCCCACAAACATAATATTCAGGCTCTGATCTCTTGTAATGCTTTCTGAGATTTGTTTGGATAAGTAGAATTAATATTTGACTATTTGTTATTTAATATTTTCAGAATGTAATATAAGAGAAACCTTTGCATAAAGAGGCACCAGTCAGTCTGCAAGAGAGCAGAATCATTATATTGTCTCAGTTCAGTGATCAGGAGGTAAATTGCCACAAAAACAAAAATTAGCATTTTGTTTTCCACAAATGAATTAAATTATTCAAAACTAAGAACTCCAAGTTTTTAGCAAAAAGCATATACTTACATTTTTTGAAGATAGCAACATTCAGATAAAGGTTAATGATGAATGCTTTGGTGTAGAAATTGGCATATCCTGATATTCCTTGATTTGCTGTTGGACTCGTCTGCTGACTCTTTTGGATAACTTGCAGGACTGTCTCCTTTGTGTTTTATTTTTTGGAAAAATAAAGTATGGGCAGGTTTGACCTGAAATCGGTGTCAGCCAAGAAGAAACGGATCAGTTAATCTCTTATTTGTCCATGGAAACAAATGTCATCTAAACACTTTTTACATTAGCATTATAGATGTTTCAAAATGACTACTTTGTGGTCTTAATTCTTGTTACTCCTGTATATGTTGAAGGGCAGACACTAAACAGGGTGCATCAAAGAGTATTCATGGCTCTTTGTTTAGACAAGGTTGAACTAGTAAAAACTAGATTTTTATTTTATTTTGTTCTGGTCGACTACAAAAGGAGAAATTAGTACACCCCATTGAACATAAACCAAAAAAAATCCTTCTGTCTTGTAGCAATGCTACTGATGCCAAACTGCTTATTCTGCTATTGATTCTGGTTTGGTGTCATTTATGGGATTGGAAACTTGATTAAATGAATCATTTGGCAGTTAAAAATGTATTAATTTAACAAACTAGGATCACAGCAGTGTGTGGGACATTCATACACCACCTTGGAATGAAGCCTGGTTGCACTTTTGCAGGGGCAGCATTTTCTTCTTCAGTCTACTATATGATGTTTGGCTTTAGCAGTGACAAGCTTTTCCTGGGTGCAATCAGCGCAGTGCTTCCCACAAACAGTCAACAAAACATTTAATTTCAGTTTTACTTAATAAAATATGCCTTATTTGCTGTTTTATTCTCATCATCAGCCTCTCTTTTAGGTTAAAGCTAATGATTTGAGGAGTGTCATTTGTTGTAGATAGCCTGATATTTTCTGTTAGAAGCTATGGGGTTGTTGAAGGGAGCTTTTTACCTCTGCAGTATCCCCATGCTGTGGGGAAGAACACCCTGCTGATCGCCGGGCTGCAGGCCAGAAACAATGCCAGAGTGGTTTTCAGCGGCTCCCTGGACTTTTTCAGCGACGCCTTCTTCAACTCTGCAGTGCAGAAAGCAAGACCGGGCTCTCAAAGGTACACATCAGTTATTTTTGTTTTGTTGTCGGACATTACTTACATTTTTGGTCTAAAACATAACAAAAACCAACTTTCCTGTTGTCTGGGTTTCCCAGGCACGAACAAACCGGGAACATGGAGCTGGCCATGTCTCTGTCCCGCTGGGTGTTTAAGGAGGCGGGAGTGCTTAGAGTGGGAGCCGTTACCCATCATCCCGTGGGAGAGACGGCTCCTCCTGCAGCGTACACAGTTACTGACCTCGTGGTGAGTTTAACAGCAATCGGTACAGTTTAAGGTTGGCATAAGTGAGGAGCCGTGGATGAGAATACAACCTTCTTTCAGGAATACAGCATCGTCATCGAGATGTTGTCCGAGGGCCGCTGGGTCCCCTTCGACGGCGACGATATTCAGCTTGAGTTTGTGAGGATCGACCCCTTTGTCAGAACTTATCTCAAGAAAAATGGTAAACTAGAACATATTCCATTATATAATGTATTTTTGTTCCATAAATCTGCACATTTTCTGTTGATTTTCACCGGTATGTTTCATGGTTTTTCATAAGGAGGTAAATACAGTGTTCAGTTCAAGTTGCCCGACGTGTACGGAGTCTTCCAGTTCAAGGTGGACTACAACCGACTGGGATACACACATCTCTACTCATCCACTCAGGCAAGCTCAATTAACTTAACCTACCTGGGTTTACACTCAAGTTATTTGGGATTGCTTCCGCTTTAAGGGGATACGTAACAAAGATTTTATTTAAAGTAATTTTCTGTTGGTTATTTTGGCCATTTATCCATAAAAAATGATTAGGATTTAATTATTCTCTTACTTGTCCGCTGCAGGTTTCGGTCCGGCCCCTGCAGCACACTCAGTACGAGCGCTTCATTCCCTCAGCCTTTCCGTACTACGCCAGCGCCTTCTCCATGATGACAGGACTTTTCATCTTCAGTGTAGTCTTCCTGCACATGAGAGAGAAGGAGAAGTCCGACTAAAGCAAAGACGACAAAAAGTGTGAAATTTTAAATTGCGAGGGGAAGAATTGAAACTGAATGTCCTTATGGCTCAAAGGTGTCATTTAGAGATTTTGACTGTTCATATTTTGTTAAGGACATATGGCTGGTGTGTGTGTCTAAGGGGTGCTGGCTGCAATTTAATGCAGTAGTTTTTCTTTTTTTTTTTTTTTTTTTTTTTAAAAATCCACTTAAAAATCCCCCACCACCCCGTTTGTTGTGAAGTCAGTCCGCTTATGTATAAAAGTTGCTCCACATTTGGCTAAAATATAAGAAAAAGCAGTTGCAAATCACTTAAGTTTAATCTACTTTCTTCTCAGAAAGTGCACTGAAAATGCCAACAATTCTTTTGTTTTTGAAAAAAAAAAAACTTTTGAAAAAGCTGCAGGTCTCTTTGAAATAAAATAACCACATTCCACTTGACACGAGTTTGTGTTTTTATTACAGAACATACTGTGCCTTTCAAAAAAATATCTATACCCATTGAGCTCCTTTTTACATTTTTGTGTCACCTGTTTTATGATACCCAAATCCAGTGAAACCAGTTGTCTTTACAAATTGCCATCTCATTATAAAAGAAGAAATGCATCAGCCAGGAAGTTGGAAGCATAGTTATGTTGTAAACAGTTTGGATATCTCATTCATTTCAATTAAATATACTTTATGTCATAGGGAAATATGTCACTTTTAATAATTTCATTAAAAGCCTTGTAGATGCTGATAGTTGTGGGCAGAAAGGACCTACTGTAGTAGACAAGAAGAAAATCATAAAATGTCCCATTTCAAGTTTGCTAGAAGTTATGAAGAGGACAAATAAAGTACTCTGGTGATAGTCTCAAATAAGATCAACACTGAATGTTACAGCTTTAACCATAATCTAAAGTATGCAAATAGAATCCAAATTACATAAAACATATGACCAACCAGAAAGTTATTAGTTCTAATAAAGGGAAGTCCTTCATAATAATGGTATGTTTTTAATGAAGGGAAATGCAGGTCAAGACTTCTTTCTTGCCTTTCGCACAGAAGTCACGTTCAGGTGACGTAACCCTCAGCCGGTTTTGTTTCCGTTCAGACCTTCAGGAGATGTAGAACCTTAGCATGCTGTACGTTTCATTCATCGACTAAATAGGCAAATGCTCCCAAAGGTAACATTTAACAATTTCCCACCTGACTGACACCGGTTTTATCTAAAGAATGCTGTAAGTTATCTGTTCTGGGACGCCGACAAGTCGCTTATTAGCCTCAAAGAAGAAGAAAGTGTAGGTTTAAGCTAACTCGTAAACATTACTCCGCTAACGCTAAGTTGAAGCGACGCGCAGTTTGACGGGCACGAGCGTAAACATTTTAAACTAGCGAAAGAGTTTCCAGAATTGAAACCACAAGCTGTGTGTTTAGTTTAATGTAAAAATGCAACGGAGGGTTTGTTGAGCAGCTGATGTGGGCGGCGTTAGCTTTAGCAAAAAAAGAGCGTTGCTTTGGGAGAGTCAGCTGACAGCCTTCTGCTGCCAACAGCCCCAGTGATGGACCAACTCAAAGTGAAGGACCGCATATTGGAAAACATCTCGATGTCTGTCAAGAAGGTAAGCTCTAAACAGTCAAGATTTACCATTTTGATATACTTATAGTAGCAACATCTACTCCACATGCTGGAGTCATTGTAGCTAATATTAGGTCATCTTCTGTTTGCGAAAGAGGGCAACTTTCAAGCTGGAAGGACACCACCAGTTCATAAGGGCCTTGCCCCTGCGGGAATAACTAATCAAAGTGTGAACTAGCTCAAACGAACCCTCGGTTTGACAGCTGAAGCTTTGATTTGAATGTTATAGTTTGTTTTTTTGTCCACGGTCAGCAGTAGTGGCACTAACCCTCCTTGTGCTCGCACACTGCGGCAATGAAGAGTGTAAACAAAGCTGCAATCACTACACAGATGGATCCGCGACATCTGGATGAAAGATTAGCTCTTTCCTCCTTCTTTCTGTTTATAAGAACATACTCCTTTATGATGACTGTAATGCATGCAGAAATGGGCTTTTCGTCTTTCTGCTGATTTCTTTAAGTGAATGCTCAAAACTTGTACACGTTATTTTTTCTGAGAGTGATCTGATTGTTAGTATTTTTGAAGCGTTGTCTCATTGCAGTGGGATTGGATTAGAAAACTTCTTGGATTGGATTTGAAAGCTTCTTGTTTGGTATTTCACCTAGATAAGCTTTGACTAACGACCACACCTTATCCTAGCAAGGAGCAAAAAATATATATATAGTCAAATTTAAGTGTACTTGCTACTTAATTGCCTTCATTGCCCCTCATATTAATTTGGTGTTTACAAACTGTACCTCTAGCTTTCCAGGTTTACCTTGTGCGGTTTATGTGTCACATGATGCAGTTGATCTTCCCTGCATTTAGAGTTGAAAGGTTACATTGATTTTCTTGATGTCCTGTTGTACTGTCCCTTGTAAAAAATAATCATATCCCTTGCAGCTTTTCAAACTTATTACAAAGTCGTGCAGCTTTGGACTTTCAAAGACCAATCTGCCTCTCAAAATAGCTATCCCTCAGCCAAACTGAATAGAGATTATTTAACAGTTAAGTCTTGCCACATATTCTAAGTTAGGTCTTTACTTGGCCAATCTAATGCATTAACGTGCCTTGATCTAAGCTATTCCTGTGCACTCCAGGATGTATGAACTCCTGCCTTGAATCATTTGCAGGACCTTGTCAAATCAACTCCCCTATTCTATCTACCACCATGTTTCACAGTGTAAGTTTTTGCATCAATGGGTATTTGGCATTTAGGTCAGAGTTATAGTTTGGTTTTCTTATAGGATGTTGATTTTGCACATAGTTTCCTGCCTAGTAATAAGAAAAATAGAACAATATAAAAATAACGGGTACTTTTAGCATCATTCTACTGTAAAAATTAAACATAATTGTGAATGTACATACAGTATAGCTAATACCTGCATTTGTTATATATCTATTTTTTTTAAACTTCAGTTGTTTCTTCATCATATGTTGATTCTGATTGATTGATTGATTGAGTTGTTAAAGCAATAAAAAGAGTAAAACATACAAAGGATATTTTTTATATGCACTTTATCTTTCCCTTAACATTCCAACACTCAACTCTGTGTGTATCTAACAGTGGAAGTGTGATCTATCTATGTTTCCTGGGACATAGGGCAGCTAAACTGAACAACAACTTGCTTAACTCTACAATCCACAGACAGCAGTTGGCATTTTGCCTGTTTACTGCTTGTATGAGCGCTTTCAAATACCTCCCTGGATTATGTGCAGGTCAAAGTGATTCCTCTGCTTAGGCCTGCATTTCTTGTTTTAGTTGTTGTCTGGCTGCACAATTGAAATACGCAGTAAGCATCTTTAAAACATCTAATTCATAAAGTTATCATTTAAACCTTGTGCTGCAGGGTTAAAAGGGTACCCACAAAGTCAGTCTTCTGCAGATGACCTATTGTGTAAATTAGCCAACTTTTTAAATCCACTGTATTAGGAAATGCTTGGAATTCCTACTCTGAATGCCTGAAAGACTTACACCTTCTCTCTCTGTAAGAGCAATCTGACCTGCATGTGTCTCTACAGTTACAGAGTTACTTTGCAGCCTGTGAGGATGAAACTCCGGCTATCCGCAATCACGACCGGGTCCTCCAGCGTCTTTGTGAACACCTTGACCATGCTCTGCTGTATGGGTAAGATATTTACTGCAAGATAGCTACAGAATGTTGGAAATGAAGAAACATTACTTTAAATTCTTCATGCTATTTTGTGTGGATCAGATTTCTCTGATCCACTACATATGTAGTGTCATTCGGTAAATGAGACTTTTAATGCAAAATTGACATTTATAATGAGCTTTTAATGCAACTTGTATGGCAGCTTTCTATTAAAAGTGTCATCATTTACTGAGTGACACTTTATGACAATTCATAAACATTTATGAAGACTGCTTTGTGTTCACAAGAGGTGTTATGATATGTTTATGACAATGTCATGTCAGTCTTATGCACACCCCTTCAAATAGTATTACCTGTTCTGCTTCGCATCTAAGGTATTTTAATATTACTAAATACCATGTTTCCAGATTTAAAGACTAATCTTGATTTCTAAATTTACTGAAATAACAGTTTTTGCAATTGTTTTCCCATTTTTAAGTAGCAGCGCTTTTAAAATTGTATTCAAGCTAGATTACAAAACATCAAAGCATAGTGTGTAGAATATTATCAGAGGCTTTCAACTTTGAAAGCCTTTCACCTGCCTGCAGTACCATGTAGATTTTAGGGAATTCTCAGAAAAACATTGACAGACATCAGATCAAACAGCCTCAGACATCAGACATAAAAGAATCACTTTTTTTTTTTGAAAAACCCATCAGACTTCTGTCTCTGAGGCCATTTGATCGAATGTCTGATAAAATTCTTCTGAGGATAACTGAAAATTTACACTGTACTACAGATAATACACTGGCATTGAAATAACATAGTGGTATGGCAATGTAGTTCTCTAATGACTTTACCAAAGCAGGACCAACTATATGTCTGGCACACCGAGAATGACTGCACTACATGTGTATAATAACTTGTATTTATTTTTTTCCCACAGTTCTTTGAACACACCGATATGTTAACGTGCATCCATTTGTGTCATGTTTCATCTGATATTGTTTTTTGGTTTTCTGTATTTATGCATAACTTCCTTCCTGTTTCACCACTTCTCTACTAGTGAAAAGAGTTGAGTCATGTATTGCTCCTTCAGATTTTGCCTTAAATTACCAGACTTTTGTAAACTTTTACAGTGACCTCAAGTAACACATTTCTAGATTTTTTTTTTCAATGTTTTCTTTATTTCTTCTACCACCATCTTGCTTGAATATAGTCATCTAAAGGGTTAGTTTGTATATTTTAAAGTGATGTTATTGGTAATAGTTCTCTTACCTTTAGCAGAAAGACATCATATTACCAGGACCTTGTTGGAAAAGTAAACGCATCAACTGAAAACTAACACGCACTTTATCAATCAACCTTTTCAGCTGATTTAGCAGAGAAGCTTACTGGAAGTCTTCTGGGACATTTTTTAAAGCACCTAAAAAAGCACAGGAGCATAGCATCTTCTGTGCTGAGAAAAACTAATGATTTACTCCATTGGTGGTGCAGCTAGAGCAGACTAACAAGTCGCAGTAGGCTTAACTAACCTTAACTCTAAGGTTACTTTATGGTACTTTAAGTACCTTAAAACTGATTAGGTTTATTTACTTATTACTTTAAGGTCTTAAGTCTAAAATTTAAATCTGCAGGAACCCCGATTGGTGCTCTGATCTTCTCAGGTCAATCTGCCTGAGGATGGATATTATTTACACAATATTTTATACATCCTGTCATGTGGTACCTATTTGTGTTAGGCTTTTCCCTTATGAATGTGTTGTTGTTTTAGGCTGCAGGACATATCGTCAGGCTACTGGGTGCTGGTGGTTCACTTCACCAGGAGGGAGGCTGTCCGACAGATAGACGAGCTGCAGCACATAGCCACCAACCTCGGTCGAAGTATGACGTATTTACTGCATTGGGAATTGCATTTGAAATAAAAGGAGACATCATTTATTAGACTGTGAGATGCATTCATTAAAGCAGGCTTCAACTGTTCTGTGCAGGTCGAGCATGGCTGTACCTGGCGTTGAGTGAGAGCTCTTTAGAAAGCTATCTACGCCTCTTCCAAGAGAATCAAGGATTGTTACAGAAGTATTACTTCAAGTATGTTAAGATTTTTTTTCTTACTTGCCATTTTAAAAAAATACATGTGACTGCTGTTGAAGTTTTCTTCTTGGACTTTTACTGTTAACTTCATATGTATTAAATGCCTTAAATCATAATGTCTTTGACTTGTAGAAATGCATTGGTCTGCAGTCACGACCACCTCACTCTGTTCCTTACACTGGTGTCCGGCCTGGAGTTCATTCGCTTTGATCTGGAGCTGGTCAGCGCAAGCTTCATCACAACATTATCATACACTGCAGTCAGCTGTGTGTCCCTAACACGCCATGTTCCTGGTTTAGGATGTGCCCTACCTGGATGTAGCTCCGTACATGCCAGAGTACTACAAACCACACAACCTGCTGGACTTTGAGGAAAGGCTCCCCAGCTCAGACAGCTTGTCTCTGCACTCGTTCACCTCCCTGACCTCCACCAACCTGGAGTGGGACGACAGCGCCATAGCTCCCTCCAGTGAAGGTAGAGCATGCTGTATTTTCT